AGGGATTACGCTACTTTGAGATTGTCATTTTCAAATTTCAGTGAAATGTATTCAATTTTAGTTGACAATATAGATAAAAACAAGTTTTTTTTTATAAAAAAAGTATTATCTTATGAGAATCTTTTCCATATTAAATATCTATAATAATATATTTTTATATTTTATACGTTTATTATAATTAATTATAAAATTGTAATATGTTCTCTTATAAAATCACAATTAGTATGCAAAATAAGCAAATGTATAAGCAAATGTGTGATCGTAAAATTAAATCACTAAGCAGAACGCGCGATAGCTTGTAGATCTACAATATTATTTATTGACGATAATGACACGCAATTGTGTCGCAATTGTGCATCAACAATAGCATGTTTGCATGGTTTATAATATATATTGTTTAATTGTTCAACAATTACGTTGCACAATGCATAGCGTGACGGGCGGCGACGTACCTATTGATTTTAGGAAAGAGGGAGGATGAGAGATGGAGGGCGCGGGGATGAAAATGGTCCGACAGTCTCTTCTGACCGCTGCAGCTTCATTCTCGATAAACCTTTCCCCAGAAATCTTGTCGTAGTCTTTCTTTTAATATTTAATAATAGTTTTTGATTAAAAAGTGACAGTTACAGCTTTGGTATTTTTTACAGCAAAATTTCTTGTACATGAATATAAGAAGAAAAAAAAACTATGGACATTTTAAATTAAATTGTAAAATATAAAAAATAATTAATAATTTTTATAAATACAGATTGCTTTTACACTTAATTCATAATTTTCGAATAAAATGTTTTGAATATTCGTCGATAAATATTTTTTTTTTATGTTTGTTGAATCTAGAAAAAGCCAATAGAGAGTTAACGATTTTTCAAGCTATTTCTCAAGTCTATACCCTGTCGGCCGTGCAGTCCATCGTTGTTTACAGAGTAGCTACCCCAAGATATCTCTGCGAATTTTTCATCCTGACCCCGCGAGTCCCGGAGCTCTGTTTAAGAAATCAGACTTCCGTCTCACGTACTCCCCAGGATTACGGTTCGTCTTCGTCCTCGACCAGAAGGGCGGCTACTTCATCTCGAATATCCACAAACGGAAAAAGGATTCATTTCTTCGACCCAATCGACTGTCCTTATCTCTCCCTTTTCTTTATAAAAACCTCCATTGATTTTTCTGAATATGACGATGGCAATTATCATTTTTCTCGTCGGATCAATTTTATTGAATTAGTTGAATATCTCCATTGGCACAATTATGCCTTTTTTTTTAAATATGCTCATTCTACGTATTAAATTAATAATAAGGACTAATGTATTTTTATTTTTCTAAAATTAAGATATTACGGTCCATAGTTTTCTAATTTTTTCCAATTTAATAAAAATTTTAAAAAATGACTTGATACGCGCGTTACAATGAAATCACGTAGCGCGACCAATTTTGTCTTATAGAAATTATATTCTACATTGTTCACGAAATCCACATTGTTACACGAAATACTACATTCGGTAATAGCTTTACCTTCGTCAAAGCAGAAATTTCGGTCCGAGAGATTTATTTAGCACCGAAATTACGAAACATTGTCGTCGAGAGGATCATCGGCGCGAAGGGGAGATATTATCCGACGGCAAATGTTTGCGCGAAATTAAATCGTCCGCGTACCCAATGAAAAGGATATGTCTAACGAGATTGTAAAATCCGCCAGGATAATTGTATTCGCGCTCAATTTAGACTCGGGTTGATAATCGATGGTCGTTAAATCGCACAGTGCTCTACGCGTGTCGCTTCCGATTTTAATTCTACTTAACGAGCGGCTCGCGCGGACCGATGCACGATTTAATGCTCAAACAAAATGCGCTGCATCAAATTCCGTTTATGATATAATTGAAGCCGCGGTTTCGACCACACGCAATTACGTATTATTGCAACATACGAATCCGTCTCGTTGTTCGTTCGTAAATTTTCCATATCAATCCTCACCAAAAAAGCGTGCGGTAAAAATTTCAGATTGGCCTCTGATTTAATTGAGCAGTGGTTCGGACTTAATGAGAGGCTAATTGGTTAAAGCGCGACACGACACTCGTATCGACATTGCGGCAGGAATTTTAAATGAAGACTGTAATGTCCACTGCAATCGACGTTATGACGGAAAGGGATCGCATTATAATTGATTAAAGTTTTTCTTGAAAAGTGATTTACTAAAAAATTTTCAATTTTTCGAAAAGTTTATCGATATGGCAGAGGACTATGTACAATTTCAAATAAACTTTTCTACATTTACAATTTAATTTTTCAATTATCTATTTATTATTTCTCATAATAAGATGTAATTCATTTCTAATTCAATTAATAATTAATAATTTATTTGTTGCAATTCTTTTTTTGTTATATGATTTTTTTTCTAGTATTTCTAGGTATCTATTCTGCCGCAAAAATTTTTTAGAATTATTACAACATAATCAAATTAGCCTTTAATCTGATTAAGAGTAAAAATTAAGAGCAATACATGCATAATGCACGTTTGACACATAACAATACATGCATAACGCTTTAATAATTACTATATAACCATTTTAGTGATTATTTCTCTTTGTATTTTATTAATATATACAAGTAAAATAGACGAATTGTATTTTAATAGATAAAATAGCTTAATATTTTCATTTAATACACAATCTGTGTATAAGATTTCACATTCTCAATCAGTAATTAAATTGAGATTTTCAAGAAAAGCAAATACTTTGGTGTGGCGACGAAGCGAACATCAGCATCGGCAAAAGTCGCGCGCGAAAGTTTCGCGCGATTTGAGAACCGTCGCTTTAAAGCCCCACTTATCGAGCGCCTAGTTGGTATGATAATGTAATAAAATAAATGGAGGTTGCTGCTTCCGAGCGATATAGTCCTCCACCCTCTCGACCTCTCTCTTTCCCGGCCGTCCCTCTCGTTCCTCCGGGGCCCCGCAGTCCGCTGGTACACTCCACCTCTTTTCTTTACCATCTCTCTCTCTCTCTCTCTCTCTCCCTCCGCCACTCACTCACACGTCCCCTTCCGCCACCATTCCCTTCCGGTTTGCGAGATCGGAGAAGCAAGGGGACAGGGATGGAATCGAGAAGGTAGAAGGGAATGGAGAGAGCTCACCTCGAAAGCGAAATACAACAAGTCCCGCCGCCATTGCTGGGTCACCCTTCAGCGGGAGTTTTGTCGTCGCGTGGGTGGGGGGTTGACAGCCCCGCGCGACGAGAGTCAGCCTCACCCCTTCCCGACCGATCCGGTCGAGCCCGGCTCGACCCCGGTTTGCCTACTCCTGGAGGCAGCGAGAGGGGCGCAGGGAACGCCGGGAGGGGGGGGGGAGACAGGTCGAAAACTCCGCCCCCGCACATCCACGGAAGCGAGTCAATACCATCGCTCCCCTTCCGTCCCCGCAT